CAAATAATTTATTGTTTCAAATGAAAAGAAACATTCAATAATAATAGAAACCCTTCCTGCTTTCAGTAACTGGACAGAAACCTACCCTTTCTCCATCATCTTTTCGAGTTATCGCCCAGAACTAAAGCAATCCCAAACCTAAATGAAAAACCTCATTTCCTGTAAAGACTGACCCAGGGTATTCGTTCATGTACTCAGCAGCAGGTGATCATGTGAATCCTGATTAGAAATGGCAAATGCCAGCTATTCTTGGCTTTAAAGGGGCTGTTCCCATTATAGAGATGATAAATGTTTCTATATTGACAAGCCGTTACTCTCTCACGTTTATTTAACATTGTGTTAAAGCTTTTATGTACATTTCCAAAAACTAATATTCTAAGTCCGTTCAGATGAGGATGGCTAACTGTAGAGCATAGTCCTCTACATTGCTGGTGATAAAACATTTCCCGATAGTGCTGCTTTGAGTGCTAAGAAATAGGACAATCCTTATAACGGGGCCTCAAAGTCCAACTATCACAAGACAAACCTTTGTCAGCTCTATGCCACTACTGCCTTACTCAGAGTAAGGTCTAATGTGCCAATTTTTGTCCACTTATGAAATAGAGAACTATGAAGAAAACTAAGCAAAAACAATGCCTGCAACTGCTCTGGGTGAACTGCAGAGGTGGGCTTCATTCTTGTTTGATCAGGCATTCAGAAGAATCTCTTTCTGTAACAGAGGCCAACAGCTAGCAGGATTACCTGGGTGACATCCTACTCTGGCAAGTGTTTGAGAAAGATCTACTGAGACAAATGTCACTGTCCCACTTATTAAAAAAAGTTATCTAAGCACTTCTGTCTTTTCCAGTAATGCTTTTCCAGCAATGCTATTCCAAGTGCTTTAGAAACAGCAATCGCACATCAAGTGCATCACATGAAGTCTGTGTCCTTACAACACCTTCTTTTATATCCCACTTCACAAATGAGAAAACTGACTGCAGCACTGAAATGCCTGGTGTTGGAAAACTAAATAGTAATCAAGTTCCATCCATCTACATGAGATAATTCAAGAGGCTACAAATATATGACAGCTCCATGACTAACGCTCCCAAGGGACTACCACTGTGCTGGAAATGGCTTTCGTCTAAACTCTGAGCCCTTTTTTTTTTTTTTTTCAGTTGCATAGTTTCCTATAATTGGTTACATTAGCAGAGTTCACAGAATACCTTTGGAAAGAAAATGAAGAAAATATTTCTGACAGTCACTTGCCAATTTTTTTAAAGCAATGACGTTAGAGGCATGTTAAAGAGGACGTTAGAGATTTCCAAAGCAATCAATCATTTTAAGAAGTATAATAGGAAGTTAATAAACTTTCACATTCAGAAAGTGTTAGGTCACGAGAGGTGGTCTTTTTCCCTAAGCAATTTTACAACATTGAATATTTGCACTTACGTACTTGTTAACAATTCCAATAAATGAGTTTTCTTTTTTAAAGTATGCAGTATATTTTGATGGTAACAAAAATCTCAGAAATGTATGCAATACTCAGAAGCACTTCACAAAACCATAAGCCAGATATGTTGACTAAACAATCTAATTGATACTATTTGCATGCCTCTGATGTTATGAATTCATTTCGTACAGTGTATTAAGAATTACAGTATTCCAATATATTGAACAACCTTCACAGGTGGTCTAAAGCTGCCTCTTGAGGTTTTCTTTTTTTAATTAATCAAACAAACAGAAGTAAATGAAGGATTATTTATTGAGAATTCAATCACCCATGAATAAGCAAAATTTGGGGATATTAATATCATCAGATATCTAGGATACTTCTTTTCCACAACCAATTTTACACCAAATTTACCTTGATAATTTAACATTAAGAAATGAAAACACTTCAGCACTTACAAGAGGTACATGCTACATATTATACAGGCTTTCAACAGAACATATAACAGAGAAACAATGATGTGAATGAAAAATTAAAGGAACAAAATACAAACTACAAAAGATGAATAAATACCAACAGTTGAAAATCATAAGAATAAAAATGAGCACGTGGGGAGGCCAATCCTGCACTTGTATAAAATAGTTTCAAATTACTATTATGAGAAAAAAAAAAAAAAAAAAAAAGTATTACAACTGTGGATTCCCACAGAGTTATTGGTTTTACGGCCAAAAGGACTCAGTGTAACCATCCAGTCTGATTTTCCCCAGACTGTGTTATTTCCTGTACCAAAAGACTCCACACCTCTTTATGGATGTGCAAGCAAATATTTTCAAAATTATGTTAACTACTGACAGAGAGTCTTTGCAAAGCAGATAATCTCCCAGTCTCCTGTGGTAACTTCCTTCACTGATAAAATGTTGCAGTTGATTTCTTTTGTAAATCTGTCTAGTACATGTTCAACTCCAAGACTGCAGAGCCTTGTGTCATAAAAAGAGGTTCTCTCCAAGTAGGTAACAGGAATTATTTTTACGCTCTCTCTACGTTCTGAATAGAAATTTTTTGACTATGGAAGAGATGTAAAACCCTCCGAGCTGAAGGGAGGCTACTTCTGCTGTGGGGTTTTTTTTTAAGTTTTGGACCAATCCTTTCATCTATCGCTTTGACCCTTCTCTACAATTTATCATTTAGCAACTGAATAAGCAAACCACTGGGTGTAGGAAGCATGTCTGAACAAAAGGCTGAAAAACTTCACAGAACATACAACAAAACAGAGCAAAGATGAAGACGGAAAAAACATGAGATAAATATATTTACATAATGGTACTTTGGTTCCTATGTTCTACTTTGTAAGTGAGGACCTTCCCACTGAGACAGCCAGCTCGTTTTTTTAAAGATTCTTTATGAACACCAAAGCATGCCTGCCTGGAGTACAGTTGGTTTTCACTAATTGTAGAACCAGCTGGATCTTTTTTTTTAAGGCTTAATCCAAGTCCAATTGAATCTGGCAAGCATTAGTTAGTTGTTAGTTAGTGACTTTTGTAAACTTTAGATCCGATGCTTAAGACTATAATTCCCCCTTGACTAACATCTTATGCACTGTTTATTCCTGTGCAGGATTGGCTCCCTCATCTTACAGTTTCTGAAATAGCAGAACTAGAAATCTTTATTACTAACCAATTTTAATCTACATGAAACAGCTGAAGTAAACCACAAGGCAGCACATTGCACATATAGTAACAGAGCATCTTATAGGAGGGTTTCATTTTGCCAGGAAAAAATAAATTCAATCAACTTCTTACAAAATTTTCTGAGAATAGTGTAAGGCTTGTGAAAGCTGATGCGGTGACCCAACACCAAAGATATTTCATTTGAATGTGTTTATTGTTGATGGTTTAAGTGGAGACAACTTATTCACACACATGAAATACTGTAAACTATACTGGCTGAAAGGCTGAAATCCAAAAGCTTCATGGCTTCTCTTGAACTTCACACATAGTAAAATACCAGCAGAACTAAGCTCTATAACTGCATGTACTAGCCCTTAGCGAGGAAGAAACTTGAATCAGAATTCAGCGCCAAGATTAGCAACCATTTTCATCCAGATGTCTATTAGTATCTCTCCCAACTGCGTAATTTGGTATGGCATTTCAATCTGCTCAAAACCAGTGATGAACAGTCCAGGGATTCTAATTTGCTGAAATCATTCTAGTTATCAGCTAAAAATCTCACACAAATGCCTGTTGCAAAGGACCAGTGAGCATTTAAATCATTACCAAAGTATTAAAGATAATATCAAAGCTAGAAGAAATTTTTAAAAAAAATGTTACTAGGCTATTATTCCAAGACCTTAAACACAGTTTCAATTTTAAGCTTGAGAATATGGTTCTTAAATTTACCTGAAATCTGAGCCTGATCAAACTAGGTATACACAGATGTGGTTTTCTGGAGGTGTGCCAGAGGCTGTTCCGACCAGTTTGGTAGTCCCAGCAGTTAAAATAAATAGCTGATTTTGTGAACTCACATTTGAGAACTGTCTCCACTATGCTCCGCTCCCTAATATTTCTCCTTTCTTAGGAAACACAGTGCTCATGTTCAGACTGGTGAGGAAACACCAGTCCTCTTTGTCCTCCTAGTCATGCAGACCTAGCCTTCCCTGTCTAGCAGGTATGAACAGCACGAAAACCTTTGGGAAAAGAGCCATGGGAAGCCTCGGGCTCTAGTGAAGGGATGGTATGAAGCTTCTGTCACTGAAGCAGCGTCCCGTACTGCTCTGTCCTCTGTTCTTCCCCACTGTGCAAGTCCAGCCCATGCTCAAAACCAAGGATGACTCAGACTGTTTCGGATATCACCACCAAACAAGGGTTGGGAAAACTTCTATATAAATACCATAGTAGTTTAAAAAAAAAAAAAAAAAAGGCAAACCAAAAAAAATCCCACACCTCAACATTTAATTTTTTTCCCCCTCAAATTCCAGCCAGGGAAGATGAGTTGGGATTTCAAGGTTAATAAAGATAATGTTTGGACACTAGTGGTTTTCCTGCTAGTAACCTGTCATCCGTGCACAGACCTCCTTTTCTTGCTTGCAACATTAAACAAATAATTTCTACTTCCTGACCCTACTTGTTGTGCCTCTTGAGTTTTGCTGGTAACCAGCAGCAACACATATATATCTACTGGAGACCCTAAGCACATGAAAATCTGCTAACAAGAGCAGGATGGGCCCTGTTCCTTAATAGATGGTCATTTTGAAGGACAGGGTATTTTTCCAATTTTGCTAATAGGAAAATGTTAATTGTTCTTGGTAAGCAGTGACTTTTGTGAGGTACTATTTAATTAATAAACCTAATTAATATTTGCACAATGAGCCATAAGGGTGACGGTATGTTCCCAGAAGACTTTTTAGTAATTAAATTTTATAGTTCCCTAAGCATTCTTTATGCTCAAAGGAAAATATTGACAACTTTTTTTTTTTTCCTTCCAGACTCTGCTGATAAACAGGATGCTCTGCCACAAACTACAAAAGAGAAATGAAAATACCACATTAACGCTTTTGGAACACATTACTTACTGTGGTAGCACAGTGGATGTCTTTCCATACATTGGCTTCCCTGGAGAGATCTGAGACTTCAAAAAGGTTATCAAGAATAACTTCCCCAATCATGTCATGTCTAGAAAATCTGTCAAAATCATAAACACTGAAATGCAATTTCCTGTTGCTGAGTTGATCATAGGCTACAGGAAACTGAAAGGTTTCATCAAAGACAGGATTTAATGTCTTTCTGTGAACTCGCGTCTGAAACTTCTTTTTCCTATCTGGAAGCAGATAAATCTTGACGTAGGGGTCGGATGTTCCTGTGAAGTCTTTAGCAGGCAGATCTAAGGCTTTGACAATTGTGACAGCCAGAAGGTCATTCTCATAATCATATCGGAGACTGAAGTTAAGTTTTCCACATGTTTTCACATCTTCTTGTTGCCCATCAGAATCCACGGACTTCTGTTTGTAGAGTTCTGGTTTTATTCTCCCAATGCTGGTTGTTGTCTCTCCCCTTTGCAAAATCGGATCTGTCCCCATGTTAAAATCAACACTGGACACTTGCATCTGCCGTGGCAAGTGTCGCCTGAAAGAATTGTGCCTGTACACAACACACACACAACACACACACACAAAACAAGCCATGGTTATCTCCAGGAAAAGACCTGGCTATTACTAAATAGAAAATATAAGAATACCAAATTAGTAAGAGTTCCTCTCTTCAAAATACCCCCCTACCCCCAAAATATTTTGCAAATGTTAAAACATCCTTGAGATGAAATGATCATTCAGAATGAACTTCTTGGCCCGAGAGACACCCAGTGTCCTGGCAATACATGTATTTATAACCTTGTTTTCAGGCTATGCAGCTGAAACTGAATTCAGGTTCTTTCACAGAACAAGTTGACAGGTCCAACATTGCTTGATCCCACTGTGCTAGGGCCTGAGAAAACTATAGTCAAGGAGAAAAAAATGACTTGCAGAATTGTCATCAGTACTTCCTGGGATTTGGAGGCATTCCTTGGTAGTTTTCCAATTAAATATTTACCAAGATTCACACTGATCACTGTGAAAGGTGCCTGAAAAAGCCATGCAGAGCTATGTCTGGAGGTTTCCAGCATAGTGCTTTGCTATCCTACAACATTTTATATACGCCTGCTTGGTATTTGCTACATTGATATACAGGCTGCCTTCTCCAATCATACTGGGAATGTTTTCTTCTGGCTGCAATACATTTCAAAGTTTTGGTCAATGTTTTTCCGTGATTGATAGGTTTTTTTCCCTTCTTTTCTCATACTCTTCTGTGTAGCGTATTAGCAAGCTGATTCCTGTACTCGTACCAAGAAACAGTAAGTTTCAATCCTTGTAATTCTGAATAGAGTGTTGCATAAGTATATGTATTTATGGGCTTATCTTGACTCATGAACATCAATGGAAATTTGTGCCTTTCCTACTTAGAGTGAAATCAAACCCCTGGTATGCCATACAGCCTTACAGCAGTATAAAACCACTGGTCAAAAAGCTTCATAGAATTAACCATCAGCAGATGCTATTATGACCACATTGTCCAGTTTATTTTTTGGACATTTTCACATTTATTTGGTACTTCACTACCCCAACAATCTGTACTGGAAAAGCTCACTACCTCCTCCTGTGAGCATACTTAGCAGCCATTAAAAAACAATTTAATTGTCAGAATTTCCTCTGCTTTTTGCAATCAATTGCTCATTAATGCCAAATGCAGCCGTGCCTTATTGCTTGGTTTCCCTGTGGTGTTGTGTTCTGAAAACAAGAGGTGTCACAGCTGTGTGTTTCTTTCTTTAAATCAGAAATGCATATTGTCCATTTGAAAGCAACCAGGACTCATTTCATAGATATTATTTGTATTTTTGCTGTAAGTGAAGTGGTTGCAGAAGGCATGAAGCACAAAACTACGGCAGTTCAGCTGAGCAGAGATAAAAGAGGGTAATCTGCAGCCATTAAATAATAGACAAGAACATTTCCCCTTTTGGCTGTTTCAGTACTGGTAGGTGCACAGAGGAGTCCTATTGTAACAAAAGGATAGCAGAGGGAGAACTTCAGAGTCTAGATTTGCAGTAGCTCAAAAAAATCCAGGTGTTTTGATCTCAAATTTAGACGAACAATACACCCCTCTCCTAACACATTCTACCTTTATTTTTTACAGTCAGGCTGAAAGATTTTCTTTTAAATGTTAAAACTCACCAAATTCAAGGTATATGATGTCTACATTGGAATGGAGCGAGGAGTCAAAAGGCCCTAACTAGTTAGAAAAGTACAGTATTGTTCTCAGCGAGTTTCAGGGCGGTCCTTGTGCCTTTGTCCTCTGAGAAGTCCAGCCTCGTAGGTGTGCTAAACACAGGGAAGGAACTGGAGTCCACCCAAAATATAGTGCCAATAAAAGTTTGGGCATGCAGCAATTCAGGCACCAGCTCTCTAGTATCTCCAACTCATAACGAAGTCCAGGAAGACCTGTGTGACGGCTACTTCTGTCTGTGCTCATGAAACCTGTGCAGGTGGGCCTTCCCGAGCGCTCCTCACACCTGCAGTTGTAGCACTGAGATGCCCAGATACTCATGATCAAACTCTGCCATAGACGAGAAGTGGAGAAAACTGCCTGCGCAGGGGAAGCCATGAAGCCGACTGTACGGCATTGCCAGTTTGAGTGAAAATGGGTACACAACAAATTCTCTTTTCCCTGACTTCTCTTGCATTTATGAAGATCTGAGTTACTACTTGTAAAAGTAACATATAAAATCCCAAATCTATGATTTCTAAGGTGCCAACGTGCTTTCAAATTTTCAAACTTTATGCATGTAAGATCTTCTAGTGAACATAGTCATTGTTGCGAGATATCACCATGTAAAACAGCACAGCTGTATGGCTGTTCCCCATGGGAACCAGCAGTGCTTTTGCTCTAGTAAGCCAAAGTCCTAATTACATAGCGCCTAGAATCTGTTCTGAGTCACAGCATTTCACCAAGACAGCTAATTGGTCTGTTAATTATTAAGATGCTTCATTGTTGTCATAGCAACATATTTATCTTCCTTTGTTCTGCAATAACAAAGGAATTAATGACTGTGATAATGAAGTACAAGGATGTCAGGCAACCAGGTTGTGAAAATGCTGCAAAGCTACTAACGTGTGCAAATCCAGGTACTTCAACCCCTACTGGCTCCTACATGGAGCACTCCTATAATAGGCATGCCTTCCATAACTTAGAACAAATACATTTTGAATGACGGTAATTCTGTATGTAAATCTCTAATATAAAATTGTGCTTGCATAGGGATAATGATAGTATGAAGCTGATTTCTAACTCAGTAAGACTGCCATATGTAAGACAAAAGAGAAGGATAGGATGCAGATTGATGATATCACTTGAGATTTATGAGGATTGGCTCTGGTCTAGCTTTCCTAGATGACATTAGACCAATCTTTTGGACCAAATCCAGGAGCGGACACCAGCACTTGTGGTATTTAGACAGAACAGATGCTGCTGTCTCCTCCTTGCAATCACTAAAGTCAACAGACCTGCTTGTTTTTCTTTAACTGTAACATTCCCAAGCACCTCACTTTTGCCTTTGTGCCTCTTGGGAACTGACTTACTCTTTGCAGAGCTGAATGACAAACTCCTCTCCCACCTAATGCTAAAGAGCAAAAACCATGTCCTTTGAAAATACAGGTGAACATTTGAAGGAAGGAACACCATAGAAGTGATAAACTGTATTACAGAATACTTTCACAAAGTACTGGGGAGAGTCATACTCAATAACACAAACCAAAAATGTTTGTACATGAACACCACACTGATGCAGGACTTCTCCTTCTATTGTAGTTTATTGGTTAATTGGGATCAAGGACTAAAGAGTTGGTTTTCTGGTGGTTTTTGGTTTTTTGTTTTCTTTTTTTAAACAAGCAGGTCTTTTCATATTATTGGGAACTATGGAAATGATATAGTTCTAATTAAGCAGAAATTCATCACTTCCATCTTCTTGCTAAATATACAGTCTATAAAAAGTGATCAGCCACATTTTATTATTCCTCTGAATGGAATAAAATCCTTCTTAAAATCCTTCTGCTTCAATTACAATGGCTTAATATGATTCTATTTCTTTTATTAAGAGCTGATGGCTGCAAGAACCTATCACAGAACTGGTTACACTTTTCTTTGCCCCAGCTCAGGTGAGATCAGTGTAGAGGAGACAATCCAGACAGCAAATATTTCTCCAAGATCCTTTGTCAATGGAACACAGTTAGGAGATGGTGCATTTGGGTCACTCGGGAGTCCTGAGTACAACAAAGCAATGCTAGTTGAAGACAGTGCAAGAGAAAGCTATGCTACCTCTGTGTCTGCTAATGGCTCCCCTTTATTTTGTGGTCCCCGATGACAGACACTAGAGACAGCTTTTAGTCATTTTGTGATTCAATATTCTGTGACACAAAGAAGGAGTAATACAGAAAGCTGGTCTAGATGCCCAGCCTTCATCTGATATATGGCATTCTTGGCAGTAATAATTAATATAGGCTGTGGGAAGGTTAAGACTCAAGGCAGGGCAGAGGTACAGAAAAATGTATTTACAAACACAGAAAGGACCATTTCTGAGTAATTTTTAAGACACATCTCATTCTAAACACATTTTGTAGCAAGGGTGCAGAGTTTTTCAGCAAACTGTAAAGGAAGGTGGCATCTCCAGACACCCAAATTGGTTGAGGTGGGACAACTAGGTTGGCTCAAAGCAAAGGAACTGTCCTGCTCAGGAGAGATTTAACACTGATAATCTAGAGAGGATAAAAAGAAAAAGCTCCCATACGAAGTTACAAATGTGCAGAAAGAGCAGAATTGATGGCATGTTTTAATTTTGTAAAATTGCCTTTGGCTTCACGGATATCTGATATGCATTGAGAACCCCATTCAAATCACTCTAGAAGTCTGTGGGAATACTTTCACAGCCTGAAGTAGCTCTAGATCATGTCCCTGGAACTTCTTCCTTCCCCTATAGTACCACAGGGAGTATTCAAGTCCATCTGCCAGCCAGCTATTTCTTCTGTCTGTTCAGGAAGTCAGACAGTCTGATTACCCACAGATTTACCTGTTGGTACACGATGGATAAAACTCTTCCAATTAACATCCTATTAGGTAATAGCGAGTTGTATAATATCCTTGTCATGCTAAGCTGTACCAGTTTGGGTCCGTCTGTGTTTAGTAGAACGGTTACAATTTCAAAACTGTCTTCCCAGTATTTCGGAAATGTTCCTCAGAGTGGCTTGGGTACGGTGCTCCCTCTCAGCAGATGGATACAGTAGCTGGAGCCAGGCAGAGACAGGGCAACGTGGCTTAAAGCCAGCTGTGCAGCCTCACAATTCAGGAGATTGTTCAGCTGCTGAAGTCAGTTAGACCTCCCCTGGCTGGACGGCTCTCATTTTTGGGACGCTCCCGTGGCTGCCTGCTGGCTCTTCCATGCTGTTGGGATAGCTGGGGACAAGTGCTCCAGCACTCACCACCGCAGTGAGCGCATTGAGCTGGCAAAACGCCGTCTTAGGGACTCACAGGTGGCCAGCAAAGGCTGTGCCCACTAAATGTAGAGCACGTGCCTCCAATGAGTATTGTGAATGTGAGGGTTTTTTTGGTTTTGGTTTTTTTGTGCTTTGGTACCATGTGCTCATTTAGCAAATGTTTTATTAAGGGAAAGCTACTTCCCATACAGTATTTGTATTCTTTCTTACGGCATTATGCAACACTTCAGGTGCCTCCTTTAGCCTTCACTTTCCCATTCTTTGTTTATAAAACATTCCCTCCTTTTTTTTTTTCCTGATGTAGAAAGTGATCTTCATAGTTCACTGTTTGTTATCCATGCATCAAATTTGCTGACAGTATTTGAAGAAAATCTCGTTTGAAACTATAGGTCACTGCACACTTCTTCACTACTTTTCAATATAAAGCAGCAACTGAGACAAAATAAAACTTTGTGTCCTCCACTTCAATAAAAAAGAAATCATTTCAGCAATACTATGTGCTTGTCATTTATTTAAGGATTTTTATAAAATCTTTACTGCTTCAAGATCAGTCCATAAGGATCTACATTCTTAGACTGGGATTTCAATGCCCTTAAAAGTGGCAAACCATGTCTTAAAGAAATGTGCCATCAACAACAAATCTGCCATTTATTTAGTGGAGAGGGAAACTTTCATCTGCAAAAGTAACTGCTGTATCTATAAAAATATATCTGTGAAAAGCCAGACTTGCAGTACTTAAAAAAATAACACTGATAGAGATTTTCTTATCCACAAAACCTAAAATGGAAATCCTTAAAGTAGTAACATATGTATTTACAAAGTAGTAGAAGCCATAGATTTTGTCATCATGTGTTAAAATAATGATGCAACTGAAGGTACACCATACGTTTCAGAACATTCTGTTCAAAGGACACTGAGGTTTTGCCTTCACGTGACTGCTGTTTCACCCGGGACTGCTAAGAAGTCAGTGAATAATCCAGGATCCTGGAAATTTTCAGCAGAGTGTTCTGGCTCTACCTGTTCCCAGGAAACGTGCCACGAACGTGAGTGTCCCTGACTTACCTTGATGACGATGTGGGCTCAGTGATCTGCCTCTGCATGCGTGCATGTCTGATCAGATGCTCTTTCAGTGCGTTCTGGACCTCTGCTGGTATATCAGGTGAAGTGTGGCTAATTTTCAACGCAGCTTCAAGTACCTTTGTTGTAGGCTTCCCATTTTCTTTAACTTCCTTTTTCTCACTGGTCTCAAAAACCTCCGTAGGAGCACTGGAGTTGCTCTGAGGGACATTACTGGCATTGGAAGTGAGAGGTTTGCTTCTCCAGCAGGGCCAACACAACTTCCAAAAGACAAAAAGTGAGACTACCAGCAAGGCGAGCCCGCAGAAGCTGACGACTACTGCTAACAGACTGACTGAGATGTCTGCAAGGAATTAGAAACAAAGATCATCATGACAGACAAACATGGAGAGGAAAAAAAAAGATTTAAAACAATATGGGTAAGGAGATAGAAGCATTTTGAACGTTATCTTGCATGCAGCTTTAAAGTCCTACTAATGTTTTTGTTTTTTTTTTCCTTTCTGTACCTTTAAAATGCCATCATTCTCTAATATCTATGTCACAAATACTCCGTTAACTGTTGTTCAGGCCAGGGGCCATTATCTGTATCACTTGCCACACACACTCAGTCAGACTCCTCAGGAAGTAAGGGACTAGCCAAAAGGTCCCAAATACACCCAGCCACTGTTGTCAAAGGGTGTCTGCTCAGGAACACATCTTGCTGAAAAAGATAAACCACAGTCCACATTTTCTATAAGTGCACATGAATACAGACCAGTTCTAAACTGCCAGATTTACAAATTTCTTCAGGACTTGCCAAACTTCTGACTCTGTGTGCTAACTGCTTCAGAAACCTGTTAAAACCTAATGTTTAAGTGGCATAAATAGGCATAGGATATAGTCTGTCATAAATCAGAAATTCTAGGGTTAAATCTTAAGCTCTGGACCAAGACTGTGTTAGACCAGGACAGCACATACATATCAGTATCTAAAATTCTGCTCTGAAAATGAAGCTAGCTTCAGAGTACACTATACGATGCCCTGAGCTGTACAGAGACCATACTGTACACTTAGCTACCCCTGCTGCCCTGTATTTGACTTCTTCTGCTACAATTAGTTAGCATAGATAAAGATAGGAGAACAGATTTCATACCAATGAAATTCTATGAACAGACTTGTACTTTAGGAGATGGTGGATCACCAGAAATGCCAGTTGAGCCCTAATTAGGAGTTTCATTCTATGTGACATGTTCAGTTTGATTTTTCCAGTATCATGTAATATTATAAAATATAACTAAAAAATCCCCCAAAAGAAACCTTTGTATGCTTTAAAAGTATTCACTAAACCCTGCTTAAATGTCCCTCAAGCAATGGCTGCTGCTGCTTGTTACAACCAGTTTTGACAGTTTAACAGCTAATATTTTGTATCCATAGCTCCAGGCTACAGGCCACTAAACTGAACCAGCGGAAAAGTGCAAGGAGAGTTTGAGCATATTTTTTCCAGAGGATCACAGAAACAAAAACAATCCTCTAGGTATGTATTAGCTCCACGGAGCAGTATGTAGCTCACAGGTCCCTTTGAGAGATGAAGATTCCAGTAGAAAATTTGGGAATGTTTTCTTTATTAATATATAATATCCAGATACATCTCTGGGTAACAAACACTGAGCTTAAGGCCTAGTCAACGTGAAGATGCATGAGAATTAGCAAAAGCAAACAGAAAATATTTGTAGTCTGGAGATTTGAAAGATACGGTTCTGCTCAGCCTTACTTCATATACATCCTGGCCAGTGTCCTGGGGGAAACGGCAGAGGATGTGCTTCTCCATTTAGAGAGTCTGGCACAAACTGCTGCCCTGCCTTGAGCAGAAGTATGCCTCCTTGGCCGTCTCCTGCCAGACCTGGGAGAGGTGTCCTCCTCTGCCTGCGGTTAAATGACAAAATGTAGCCCTAGGAATACGCATGTCAACTTAATGAGAAATTCTGATTTAAGATGCTCCCATAAAATGAATGGATGCATAATTATATCTAATAATAATGTAACACAAGAAGCAATTGATACTTTTGCATATGATCTTTCTAGATAATTTATCCCCAGTAGGGATTATTAGGCTATTGGTTTAATCTACTGTTTACCCTGATATTCTTTCTGAGCCCAGTAATTTTTTACTTGGCTTGTACATGTTCTGCAGCAGACTGTCCTATCTTGACAACAAGAGAAGACATTAAAAGATGCTGAGTTTACAGGTTGTTTCAGTGGTTAATCACTTTGTTGCAAATTTGTATTTCTGATTTGTATTTTTGTAGTTATAATTTACAGTCATTGCTTCTTTCATGCCTTTGTATGAGAGATTAACAGATATGATATGCTTCACAAGACATGCCTATACAAAATATAAGTAATAAAATAAACTGTGCCAGGAAACAAACCCAAGACTTGAAACTTGAATCTATACCAGTCCCTGGAAACATTTTAAACTGGGCCAGTTCATACCCTCCCAGCCAATTCCTGGGCATGGATCAGGAATTAGAGTAGGCCAATGATTGTTCCGAATAGGTGGTTCAGATGTGGCCCTTCCGTTTCAGCAGATGACAGACTTTATTAGCATGGAGAAAGGCTCTTACATATGAGTTGCCCTTAGTGCCAGAGAATGATCATAACTGAATTTAATATATTAATACAGAGATACGGGCCACTGAAGGACCTTTTCTGATAAATTGAACCAGCTGAATTTTCAATCAAGCTCGACAAAATATTTTTCCATTCTCAAAAGCAGAACTCCTGAAAATGTTGATGATCTATCAGAAATAAAAAAGAGAAAAATAAAAGCAATTAAATTTTGGGTCATTTGCAGTATTTCCAGCTCATCTTAGAGATGGCTGGCATAATTAGGTTACATTTTGAGAGGAAGGCTTTTAGAACTGAAAATTGTGGTGGTGTTTTTTTTTTTTTTCATTTAGAAAATGTTGAAACAGGATGTTTTAACAACTTTGAAACTGCTGGAAACATTTCAAAACCAGAAATATGAAAATTGATCCCTTCCAGCAGAGTTTCAATTTGATGAATAGATACTATCAGCTGAAAAACATTCCATCAAAGCATTTCTAGCCAATTCTATTTTAAGTTTTTTCACTGCAAGACATTTTTCAAGCCTTCAAATAACTTGGTGTCTCTTTTCAACACCTACTCCCGTACTTCAACTTTCTCTAAGCTTTTTTTCTGTATTTCCATTAAAGTATTTCAAATTCTAAGTCAGTCTCAAAATCTTTACAGAAAATACATGTTTTATAGCCATAAAACAAATCACATTCAACATGTGAGGTCTCAAGAGCAAAGACGTAGAAGCTAATTCTACAAACAGTTGTACAAATTATAGTCTTCATTTTTGCTATTTTACTAATAAAGTAAACAAACTCACATACTGCACTTTATGATACAATAAATAAACAGAAACATGAAATATTGTAATTTCCAGAAATTTGACAAAAATACTTAATTTTATAAAATATAATTAAATTTACTGCCATAATTGCTAAAAAGCAATCAGTATGCCATATAATTCGGCATAAAAAGAATATTGTTTCATTTCCTCACTCCTAGCAGTCAATTGAGCAATTACAAGAGATTTGCTATTGTGTGAAGACTGCAATCATCTGTAGAAGAGCAGTCAAATTGAACTTCCCAGACCCTTTGCTGGATGTGTCTCTTGTATCACCTTTTTATAGGAAGTTGGGCTTAAGAATACAAAACATTAACAGACAGTTCTGCAGACCAGGATTTTCTTCACTTCCCTGTCAAGGAAACCTGGGTGGGAAGGAAAATGGGTACTGAAGAATGAACGTGTCATTGTCCAGGGTTGCACTTTATGTATCATTGTGTCATTTAAAGATGTAGAACTGGTGCAAATTCAAGGACTGCCTAAACTTGTAGTGGCATAAGGAGACACACTCATTCTGCTGGGTCAATGTTAATTCCCAACATTGTAAACGGTGTTCTTACTGGTCTCTGGTACGAATGAAGAGAACCATCTCAAACTAGAAACAATTGTTTGACAACTCTTTTTCTGAACTGGTAATTATAGCTTGTCTTCAGTGCCACATGTTTGCACAGAACAGGACATCTTTCTGAATATTCATCTGGGCATGCAGCATTACGCTTTTGCCATTCTTGTTCACATGTTGAGTAAACTCAGGAATGTGAAGAAAATCCTCTTTCTCACACAATCCCTTCTGATAAATGGGAAATCTTCCAGTGACTTCAATGGAGTTACCATTTCATTCCTGGCGATATTTCTTTACTGACCTCTGTCCTTAATGTCACCTTCATAGTCTTGATAAAATTTCATAACTGAAAGTATCTTATTTCCTCATGGTTTTCTATTTAAAACTACTCTTTCCAGATAGGGAATTTTGGCCAATTTTATATTTCTCATTTGAGAAAGGCATGTCTAGTTGGGAAGCTCGCATTGGGAAGCTCGTGAATTCTATTTACCTCAAAATCTTCTCTCTGCATGTTTTATAAATATCCTCAGAAACATTTCCACCATAACAGGCTCCTTGACAGCCAATCTTTCCTATTAGGCAAGTACTTCAGAAACATCCCCATCTTTTTTTTCTGGATGCTAGGGAATGTTTTAAGCAATGATTTCTGTACGATGGCTTCCAACAATTTGTTGTTTGAAACTTGCCTCAGAAAAGTTCTGCACATGAATCCATTCACAAACATGCACATTGGCAAACTTCCATTTCCAAACCAAATTACGTTCATTTACATTTTAGTCAGTGCTCTGAGAGCACATGCCCCTTGATGCTTAACTCTGGAAAAACATACTCCATAAAAACAAGATCTTGAATGGAGAGAGAGAGACCAGACAGTGCCATGCCAGGCATGTGTCTGATGTGAACCATGCTAAAGAGAACAGACTCCTGCCAGCAAAGGAACAGGGGGGAAAGGAACACCTGGAAAAAAAGAGGGTTACATTCTCTTTCGATTTTCTTTAAATATTTAAAATACAATGTCTCTGTAACTTTTTTCAAACATATTCTTCTTTAACATTTAATTTGTTCCCTTATCATCAGCCATAAGGAACTTCACCCTTTCCATAGCAACCACTCTAAAGGGGACTCTTGTATCTGGAATATTAGGAGTCAGTTCAATCAGATAAATTAGTATGTATCTGATTTTCTATGAATTGGAGGGAATTAGGAGTTTTATCAATTATAAAAGGTCTGGGTCAAATAAATCTCCCTTATCCCCATGTATATGAACTAGTTGGCCCAACCCATCATTTCTGCCGTTCAGTTTTCCTTGGGGAAATTTGAAGAACATAAAAAGTTGCTGGTGTTCATTTTTACGCGGCATTAG